AATTGTAAAAAGAGAAAGCATTTTTTTTCAACTAACGGACACCGTTTTCATTGTCCAATAGAAAATATCTTGATTTTTTATCCTTACGTAATAAGTCAGTCAAAATATTCCGAAGTAACAGTCACCCAATATGCTATGATCTTTTCCTTTTTCCTTCCTTTCTTTAGGAGTCAAGAGAGTGTAACGCTTAAGGGTGTACTAATGTCGACTTAGTCATCATAACGTCACGCTTATTGTCCCTTGAAGAGTAGACAGTGGCGACCTATTTCGCTAGTCATGTTATTTAGTCACATAATAAAGGGTGACTAAGTTATATTTGTATTCCACATTTGTACACCAGAAATGGTCAAACATGTTGATACTATGCTCACTGCTCATCTGTACAACTTAGAGGTATAATGTGCGTTCTATGATGTATTATTATTTCACACGTGTTTTTGCAAATAAATAATCATTGTCTTTAAACATCTTTTTATTACCTATAGGTATATCTTCTTGAAATAAAAAGAAAGAAGTAGCTTTTATCAAAAAAGGTTATCGCAACACTTCAATCTCTTTGAAAAGAATTTACAATGCCTTGTTTTTGGTAAACCTCTTTTATGTATATAGAAACCATTTTGAAATATGTCTAATGCAGATTTTCTACATTTTAGATGAAGAGTACTCGGAAGTGACCCACATATGTTGGCTGCCTGCTTTTGTGGTCGGAGGCTGCATACGAACGGAACATTTTAAGCTTTACCTCAGACGAATAGTTTTAAAAAGAATTGTACGTGTAATTTTGCTTGTTGTGTTTGTACATTACTTTGTTCATTTTTAGACAAATATATGGTAAAACACTTTGGACAAAACCAAATTAAGAGATTGATTCAACGTGATTTTTGACAGACAAGGACAATGTACCTATGTATTGCAATACATAAGTTAAAGGTAAAAGGTGACTAAATGTTATAGTATTGTATTGAAAGTTTTCAGATACGAAATGCGATCCTAGAAGAAAATTGGTAACTTACCATATATCACACCAGTTCGTAAATGACCTCTATTACATACTGAGTATCTCTGAAACTGCCAATGCCACCATGTCAGCGGTCCATCATAAGTCTTGCGGTATTTCATTCACAACAGAATACGCTGTACACTAAAAAGTACATAATCAGGACTTTGCTTTTTGTTCTTTAATTGTACCTCGCCCTTTATATTCGAAGTAATAAAGCTAACAATTCAAGTGAGCAAAACCAACACAGCCCGTTTTTGTAGAAACTATATTATAATAGACCTTACACGCTTCAGATAAAGCCCAGGACTTTTATTAAAAATAAGATCATTACTGGCGCCGGCGTGGGTGTCCGTTGCCAGTATAACTTGATCCTTATCCACTCGTGGTTTGTACTACAAATTCTTTATCCGCCTTCTGAACGAGGCTCAGCTGTAGCTGGTGGCTGAAACCGTAGTGTACTGTTTCACAGAATTTGTCTGATACGTGGGAGTGAGTCAACAGCACGCTCAAAAGGTATTGGTAAAACATTGTTATTGCTTTTTAAATATTTAAATGGATTCGTCTACTGTATTTTCCATTACTAATTTAGGTGGTTTTATAATATAATATCAGACATTTTGTTCACCGATGAAAAAGACAATCCTTGTACAGTCAGCCTTTAGACAAAACATTGTAGATGAAAAGACGATGTTCATGAGAACCAGAAATTTAAAGCTTCTCGAGAATTTAACAACTCTATGTGGTAGAAACCTCTTAACCTATTTCGTAAGACTGAACTGAACGAACCCTGGTCGATTTTCTGAAACCTTTTGTAGGTGAATTTTTACAAGCCTTGCGTGAAATAAAAGGTATGTCATGGTGTGAACAGCCGAATAATATTGGCTTTATTAAACACTAGTTGAGTTGTATCATCAGTATCATAATGGGGTAGACGACTAATTTTTATTTTAATGTCCGTCTGGTAGATTATTTAAAAACATTAGACACGTATTTTTTATTTTCTTACGGAAACTAATAGTTTCGAAGATATATTGATTTGAAATGTCGCGTGACGTCACTTCTCAGTACATTTTATACTAAGAAATGACGTTTTGGCCCCCACTCCTAAACATTGATTCGTTTTATCTAAGTATTGTTTTATTATACGACAAAATAAAAAAATACGTGTCTAATGTTTTTTAATTACCCAACTTACGGACTAATTATATTTTTAATTTTCATACCCTGTCATCATCCCCATTATATCAGATACAAATCACCAATGATTATACTCACCAATGCCCAGTACTCAATAAGGGATTCCCTAATGAATAAGACTGGGAGCAACCTGCAACCAGGGGCTTCCTGGAAAACGAAGTCCAATTGGGTAACAAGGTTCTTGCATAGAGGTCACGTACTGGATAGGCACCCACAAGGTGAATCGACAACCAGATAAATGTTACCTATGAAGTACAAGGAATGAATTATCAAGGGTCATAGTATTGTTCCCACAATAACATAATTGTTTTTTCCGCATACTGCTTTCCGAACAGCCTATGATCACTTACTATTTCATTTATATGATACAATAAAAATATATACATTTTAATTAAAAATAGTGCTAACGACCTATTAACATACAGGTAAGAAAATAGTTCATTTATCAATTAATTACTTACAATTTTGTTTACATAAGATAAAAAAAATAATACGAATATTAATAGAAATGAATTGGCGTGCACAATGTGATATGGATTGATAAAGTAATTGTGTAAGAGAGCCGTATCAACGTCTGTAACGCAATTACAACGAGCCTAATAACTGTAAATCATATTCGAGATGCTACTGCGAATGAATAGTTTTGATCATTTCGGAAACAGCTATTCAACCCTTTACTTTTGATGGTCACAATTTAAGGTATGTAACGTGTATTATATCGATAATATAGCAATTTATAGTAGTAAAAAATATAATTTGCGAGTTTTGGAAAAAAGAACACAATTATGTTTTGAGTACTTTCCTTAATCAAAAATAAATTATTTCGATTATTCGATAAAATTATTAAAAAATAATTACACTTTCATTAATTGATTTTATGACTAACCTACTTTCAGTAGTCTTTCAGCATTTTTTTAAGATTTATGTATACTGTTTGACTCTAAAAAAACATGACGTCACAATACACAGTCTCGTACAAAATTCACAGAAAACTGTCGATTTTGACAGTTCGAAAAAGTAATGAATTTGACTAGTTGGCAAGTACTCAATTGGAAAGGTCGGATAGAGGTGCACATATGAAGTACCTAAACACTTACGTAATAATAGACTGTTATTGTATAAACCTTTGCCACGCATGAGGTGCAAAATTATTACACTACCTAACTATATGATATAAATATATAAATGAGAGAGAGAGATATCCAAAAACTGCAATAATGTTTTTCTCACTCTAAACTAGAATGAATCTAGTCATACTTCAATCTTTTAAACGAACCTTGAGAGGTACGTTCTAATCATCTTATTTACTTAATAAAAACATTACTTCACATAGGCTAGCAATTCTAGCTTAGTTTCATCTTATGTAATAGTAAATATTACGAGAACAGGTAATATAAACTAGAATTGAATCACTTCAATAAAATTCCAAGCTAAATTAGCAACTTCGTAGAATACTAAAGCAGGCTACTTACGTACTAGACTTCAAATGTTCACTTGTATTAATCGGGTATTAGTTTTTATATGAAAGTGGGATCAACCAACATGGTCTTCGATTTAACTCGTCGAGTACCGGTTTTGTAGACACAATTATAGAACAATAGGTTGCGGTCACCGGTGACCGCTTGGTGTTTGACAGTTTAATAGTAATTAGTTCACTCTTTTTGTCAACGATATAAATAATGAGGAAATATCCCTTGAGAAAAACATTACGTAATGGCCACTTTTAGTCAGTTACCCACATCAGGCTACTTATATGAGACTGTGATATTGCTATAAATATCGAAATATGTAATAAAACTTAGTACTTTCTTTACAAGTAGAAAAATTCGAAACCTTATATTCAACAGCGATATTTGCGACCTCTCAACCAGGCGAATTGTCGAAACCAAATAAGACAATTCATTTCGTGTGCCACTTAGAATAAAGTTTAATTTTGTTTGTCAACCTAGCCTAGTCGTTTGTATCCGGCATTAGCCGGGCCATAGGCTACAATTAGAGTGAATAACACCTCCAGTACAAGTGACCTTTAGGTAGCAGCAATCTATTAATTTGCGTACCAGTAAATGGTAAAACATTTATAAAGGATGTAATCAATGAATTGTGATGTTAGTTGTAGACATTTGGTAACTATTTGATATCCTGTTAATATTTGAAATTGGTTAGAAAAACTGAATTACTAAGTGAGTTTTGAGCTTTGAGTTTTGAATTAGATTATTCTATAAGCAGTGTTCCAATTAATACCTACTTGGTATTTGTGTATATTATCTACATAATTATTTAAGTAAGTTGATTAAAACAAAAAATCTAAAGCCAACTCTATTCCGGGTTTATTTTTATATATTTTTGGACTTTTACAGAAAGAGATCTATTTATTTGATCCTATGATTTATGCACTAAATAAACTATTGTTCCAAATGGCTAGTTCTTGTCGCGGAGAACCTAACGGGTAACCGGGGCTCCGGCTCGACGTGCAGGAGAAGGAACGGGGTGGTTTTTAGTCAGCAGGTAAGAGTCTGACACTACCTGAATGACATAGTCATTCGATGATTTTCCCCCCTTAAAAGAAATAGGTAGTTCTTTCAGTACATTATGTTTTTTCCTTGGGGCGGCTTAAAAATAATGACCTCCTTTATAATGAATATCCCTCTTCCATCCTCGAACGTAATGAAAAGCTATTAATCATCTCCATATCGTCATTATAAACCATGCAAAATATTCAACGACATTTTTTTTAAATAAAGCATCAAGTATCAAGAAATTTTTCTCTAGTTGTCAATTACCAACACTATAAGTGGAGCAAGCACCACGGCCGACCTACTTGTAGCGTCCCGGATCACAAGTGCGCATCATGAGACCCTTAGTTATTGGTGAGATCGCTTTTGTACCTTAATTCATGGACACAAGGACCAAATTAGTAGAAAATTCCTATTAAAAACGGGCAATCGATAAATCGCAAATGAGAATTTTAATGAAAATCTTTATTATGTCCCGAATAGCTATCAACGAGGGAGATTGTATCGTTGTCGTTTTTCGTTTGAAAATAAATAAATGGAAACAAATTATTTTGTGAAAATAATGGACTTTTTGTGTTTTCAGCTTTTGTGGTATTTGCCGGGACTGTCTATTCAAATATGGCTCTTATTGAAAAATTGCATAATACTGGGCTCGCTAAAAACCCTCTTCATATTAGGGTAAGTATCAAAATATAATTTGAAAATTAATTAAAGCGAGACGACATTTGATTTTATTGAAACAACTTTTCCAATAGTCGAATTCCAGCAATTATTTGTAAAGGTCCTTTTAATATTCTGCCTCTTTTTATGTTTTGGGGTAAAACATAATTATTATATAACATGTATATTTCGTAATTAAAACACAATCTCCTCGGGTTCTGTAATTAACATTTGATTAATATTTTTTTACAGGCTCTTCACAAACGAGATATTGATAAGAGCGACAATTCAGCGGAAAATTTTTACAACTTCATAGAAGAAAAATTAATGCATCAAAATCAAGCGTTGGAACATTTGATCACATCTGTAGACAATACTGGCGATATGATCAAGAAACTAATAGACAACTTAAGCAAGGGTCTTGAAAAACCAAAAATGCCGACTAAAGCCGAACCAGAAAAGGTATCAAAACAAAAAGTGAATATTAATGCGAATGATCATCCTATAGTTAAACTTGGAAAGAATATTCCAAAGTATGGCAGGCTAGCCAAAGACTTGCTCATGAAGGAGGTCATCAGTAGTACGGATCCAACTCCCATTATTGAAGTAAAACCCACACCTTCCACGGTGAGTGCTGTGTGATTCTCTTGGAGATACTAATTTTCAGTACTATTTAATATTAAAACTAAGTAATCACTTAATGCTTCAAGAGATGAGCATGCACTTATCAAGCGTATTCAATAACTGCACACTAATAAAGTAATTATTCTCTGTAAAAAAGTGTTTTTCTAAACTGTTATTCAGGTTGATGGGATAGAAAATTTTGTTCTTAAATATTTCGTCTTTGTAGAATACATGATAAGAAGAATGTGTTTTGGAGATATAAGTAAAAGAATATATGAAATTTTCTATCTTTTCAGCCTGGATCACGAAGATTGCTTGATGATTCTACGGTTGGATCGGATCAGCAAAATGAGGAACATAAAGTTAATCCCTGGTGTCCAATAGCTTTACTTTGCCAAAAGAAAGATGATCCTGTTTGTGGATTTGACGAAGAATTTGGTTACGGTCGCTTCGAAGATTTTTGTCATTTACTACGCGTCAATTGTTATTGGAAATATAGTAAGTATTTGTTTCTTGAGTTTTCGTATCTGGAAGGAGAAAATCATCGCATGCTATTGTTTTATTATCAATTAAGTAAATTAAGTAAAAACGCGGTAAAAATGAGCTGCTGCTCATGAGGAAGAACCCCTCTGTGGTTCGAAACTAGTAGAGCTTTTCTCAGTATATTCACGTGAGTAACCCGCGTTTTTACTTAATTTAGTATGCCTCACGATAGTTATTATAAAAACATGTTTTATTATCGTTGTTTAATTCATGTTTTAATTCTATAACTTCTATTCCAGATTTCTCCGTCGTTTCTTCGTGCCAACCGAAATTATGAGATCAAAAGTATTGTTAATTGTAATTAATTATAAATTTTAGTTTTAGAATAAATTCAAGTGGTATATGATTTCTTCTGTTCTTATGTTCATTAAGTAAAACATTGGTTTACGTATGAGAAGAATTTTTATAACAGCGGTACATGTCTGCAGTCCCTCTTTTTAGTTTTTTTAAATTCTGAAACAAATATTTTATTATATTAACTATTGTTAGATATGTCTAAAGATGTAAAATAGTTAATTTAGTATGCCAAATTAACTAAAAACCGCAAACACGTAAATATATGATACAAGCTCTACTAGCACTAGCGAGTCAGAGTAGGCTGCGTGACATCGCCGCGACCGCGCACGCTGCTCATGAGGAAGAGCTCCTCTGTGGCTTGAATCTAGAAGAGCTTGTTTCAGTATATTTACGTGAGTAACCCGCGATTTTTGGTTAGTTGTACTATCAAATTTATTATTTTTTACGCCAATATTTAAAGGATCAGCTCTGCATCAACAAAATTGATTAAATTTCTATTATAACTTCAATTGAACATTATTTGATGCTAAAAAGCTGCGTTGGACACAGATTTTGCAACAGTTGAAATGTTGATAAATAAGAAGGACATAATGGATAATTTACAGGAATTCCTAATATTACTATGCATTCAATAAGTTAACAATATCAACACAACCAAAGCTAAGTTTAGTAGTATTTATAACTATAGGTATATTATCTAGTTAGTTACACGAAAAATTGATAATAATTTAAATTCTTTACAGATAGAATATATATAGAAAAGAATATACAGAAGCCAGAATGTTATCTAAGATTGTAAGGGGTGATGCTCTATTTATTAAGAATACTTACTAGTGCGATATTCGCAATTAAATTCTGATATATCACATTTGTCTAAGAACCATCGAACTTCTCCAGTTTTATGGATTATCCCACAAACTCGTTTCTTAGAGTGAGCACAAATAGTTGCATCTAAGCAGGGTATCTGAAAAACAAAGCTGTTTCTATTTTATTTCATGCTAGGGGCTCACTCTTAAATCCAAATACGATAGATATACACATTGATATATTTTTTTTAAAAAACGTTGACCCACACTAGGATTTTCTCCTGTGTCGTGGGTGCGTTTACAAACATAAAAGTTCACATACACAATGACACCCAGACCCGAAACCACAATTTGTGGATCACACAAAGTGTTGTCTCGTGCGGGAATCGAACCCGCGACACGTTGCACGGCAGCCAGTTGCCCAGCCACCGCACCAACCGTGCAGTCTAATTGTTTGTTATCAATATTGTTTCTTACTCTTACGTTGCAAGACTACCATCCATTGCATCCGTATTGCATGGATATTGAATGAACTAATAAGTATTTTAAACAAGAATACATATTTTAATGTCAGTTGAATAATTATTTAGATTTCATTAAATTGAAATTACATTGATATTGAATCTGGTTTCAAAAGTGCCCTGGTACGAATATAAAAGGCATTCAACACTTGTGGCCTTATTTTTCTGGACCCAGGTATATTATTATAACCTTTTTAATAAGATAAGGAGTGTGTGAGTGCCATTGGAGAGGCTTATGTCCAGCAGTGGACGAAAACAGACTGTTGATGATGAATAAGTTAAGGCAGACGAGCAGACGGATTCAGATCAAGCAATCAACGCCGCCCATGGACACCAATAACAAGTGCATTGCTGGTCTTTTAGGGGTTTTGGAGTATTTAAGGACTGAGGAGTGGCGTGGTGGAGGATTATGGTTCCGATAACTTCACTCACTAGGCGAAGTACATGGCATTGTTTCACGCCCGTTTTCTATGAGGCCGTGATACCAGTCCTATCGTGTCAGCCTATTCGTTCTTCAGTAAATCCACATTTAAATTCTAATAGGTACATGGTCTCTTAAAAATGTCTTCTCGTCTTAGAATTGTCGTGGTGGCCCGGAGGTTAAGACGCTCTCTTCTCATGCATGAGGATGCGGGTTAGAAACCTACCAACGGCATGTATCAATGTGACTTTTTCCGAGTTATATGTACTTTCTAAAATCTAGACACTACTGACAAACGGTGAAGGGAAACATCGTGAGGAAAACTGGACTTATAATTTCTAATTATAAGTTTGTAATCGCCAACCCGCATTGAGCAAGCGTGGTGATTAATGCTCAAACCTTCTCCGTGTGAGAAGAGGCTTTGCTCAGCAGTGGGCATTTATAGGCTGTTGATGATGATGATGATGATGATGATGATGATGATGATGACATGGTCACTGCTATTTTATGTATGTGATGTATGTATGTCGTATTTATGTTAAATTCTAATACTAAAACTACGACGAGCTACCAATAGATGAGCGTCCTCTAAACTGATGATGATCTGACAGTAATCTATAAACAGCCTACCTAAGGTGGCCACTTAGACATTTATGAAAACCGCCTATTTCTAGAGGAGATTTTTGGTCAAAGGCGGTCATTTTGCAAATAAAAATAAACACATACCCCATAATATTTACTCTTTTTTCTAGACTCCGTATGTACAAATAAAATTCCAAGTATGGTCGTATAGAAGATAAATTTTGCACACACGATCATGTGTGTAAAATTATGTATTTTGGAAAATTCTGAAAAAAAGAACCACATCAGAGGATTTATAAGGGCGTTCAGGATTTGAAGATTTAGACGGGGGGAAGATTGAGTTTCGATTAGTTAAATAATAGGGTGGGGTGTATTATTACTCGTTATTCTACTCGTTGCGCTGTATCATAATACCTCTATTTTGTTATACGATGAGTAAATTTTACATCCATCCTTACCTTTTTGGATAATAGAATGTGTATTAAAATACAATATTTGTATCAATCTTTATTAGTAACTGCATGGAGTCTGAGTATATATTCATTCGGTTTCAGTTAAAGGTTAAAATAAAAAACCAACATACCTTAACCAAATTTCCTATATTTTCGCAAGAACAATAAACATATTGTATAATTCGACTGCGCATATAAGTGTTACAGCCTCATAAATTTCGAAACAATAAAAAATAGCAAGAATATGGTTTTCCTAAAGGCATTTTGATTTTGAAGCTAAAGAATCAGAAATGCATTTCGTAATTTTTTCGATTGGTAAGAATATTATACATATTATGTTTAACCGACTTCAAAAAAGAAGGAGGTTCGCAATTTGTTAATTAGTAAAGTCGCGAGTTTAACTTCCATGCTTGCTCATTAATTATACTCTTTTGATTTGCAACATAATCCAGTGGCAGTGTTTTATTGCATATGCAATTCTTAATTCTTAATTCTAAGTAAGATTGGTGGAGCGGGCGTAAGAGCGACTGCAGAGCAAGGATCTTTCCGGATAATGAATTTGTATCTAGTATGATCCTTTTATACGGGATTTATAACGTAACTCCAGAAGAAAGAAGTAATAAGATATTCAATATATACTTTTATTTTACAGTTACCATTGTATTAACTATCAGCGTTTGGCAATCAGAGAGCAATAGAGTAAGTATTAGTCGCGTATTTATTTTATTTATTGTATGCAGGAGAGCTTCGTCATGAATGGGACGGCTCGAATACGATCTCCCGGAAACCTTACGTCAATTACACAATGCTTAAGTTTAAGCTTAAGAGATTGAGTGAGTGAGACTACCCACACGTAGTCTCAACTAATGTGTGTGTGGTTGAGTTGGAGTGAATGGGATGGCATCCCACCCAAAAGCCTCCAAACTAAAACTCCTCTGATCTTGCTTCTGGGTGTCCATGGGCAACCCTGATTAGACGAGCTAGATTAGACAATAAAATAAACATTAATTTATGAGGTAATGAAACTTAATAATATTATGAAAAAATGTATTGTCGTACCAGGCCGTGATAGTCCATTCTAAAATTATGAGCTATCTTCACATAAGGCAGGATTGTGAATAATATATGTGGTTAGAAGGCGGCTGAAAATCGTAGTTTGAAGGTTTCAGGATCATACAGCGCATTGCTGCACAGGTTCTATTAAATGTGTAGGTAGTCCCTTACTCGGCTCCTATGACATCTACTGGAAAAGAGTGAACCAGAAAATTGTTCTCAAATTCGAAACCCTTGATATTTAAGGGCCGAAACACATAACCACGTTGCGTCGCCGCAACCGCCGGCGTTGCGGCGTCGTGAAAATGAGCGGTTTGTTGTCGTTCGGTAGGGTAACCAGTTCGTTGTGATTTTTTATTGTGGATAGACGTGTCTTTGCCATGGACCATCGTGAAAAATTTATTGCTTATTTGTTACTTTAACAAAACGCTCTTTTTCACGACGCCGAAACGCCGCAACGCACCGCAACGCAAACTGACGATTTTAGCGCTGCGGCGACGCAACGCGGTTGTGTTTCGGCCTTAAGAAATACGTTTCATCTTGATGGTTTTGACTATACTAGGTACACAAACACATTTTACAATTTCGCTAGTGTTTTGTTTCTTGTATTGGTATCGTGAAACTAACAACAAAAATAAAGATAAGTAGATTTTTTGTATTTGTGATATTTTGTCAAGAGCCTCGTATGACAACGTTTGTAACCAAGTATGTGGTATCAATAAAAGTGTAGAACGTAGTACCGTCTTATGTCGATCCATGTCATATGTTCACATTCACTCAAATTTGGTTTAACTTAGTAAAGCCTGACTATTCTGTAAGATGTCAATTTGAACTCTCGAACTGAGTTCCATCGCATTTTCGCCCGTCATTGGTGGAGATTATTCTCACGACCAATGACATGGCGGACCACGCTCGAGTCCACTTCGATCTTTCGAATTGAAAATTACAGAATAGCCCCGCAAGCACAGAGGAAGTGGCATATTTAGTCTAACAATAGATACTGCCCTTGTACTAGATTAATATATTTTATCATTGAGCTATTATATCAGACTATGATGACTGTATACAGTCATACCAAATGACTATACAGCCAGTCATCGTACGCCTCTTGATACTTGCGACAGTAAACTGCGAGCCTATGAACTTGAAAGAAAACTCCTCGAAAGACGATGTTCCTATACCACGCCTAGCAACAGATTGCAGTTTAAAAAGACCAGGTTTATCAGAAAACGCTGCAGCTCGATCTCTGTTTGTGTAGTTCTTTAGTCGACTTCAAAAGAAAGAGTAGACGTACAGTAAGAGTAGTGGCAAATATATTATTCTCTGCCTACAACTTCAAGAAATGACAATACTTATTTGTGGTTCCAGAATTGTTACAATGCGAAGACTTGCATGCACAGCGGAATAGAAAGATGCGGCGTGGAAGAAGATGGACGACTAAGAAAATTTTTGGATTTATGTGATATCCATGAGTTTAACTGTCTCCAAAATACTTGTAAGTTTGTTCGTTGTCTGTGTAGTTATTTTATTTGTCAAAAAAAAAAAATAACATAACCTACATGGTTCAGTAAAAAAAATAATCAATAATGGCAACTGCAAGGAGTATCTGGTTTGAAATTTATCGTAGTAGCACAGAGTCTAAAAACTATCCCGTTCCAACTCAATCTTAACTCTCACTCCAAATCTTAACGCGGAGAACCTAACGGGTAACCGGGGATCCGACTCGACGTGCAGGAGAAGGAACGGGGTGGTTTTTAGTCAGTAAGAGTCTGACACTCCCTCCCGCCTCACCCAGGCGGGAGCAGTCATTCGATGATTTTCCCCCATTAAAAAAAAAAATCCCGTTCCAACTCTTCTTTAGTGCCGGGGCCAAGATAGTAGCGTGGTAGTAGCATAGAGTGTGGAATTGTGCCAGTCTATGCAATAGGTTACAAATTTCGGTGACGGCGACTCTTTATAGTTGTCTCCTGTTGTCAGTCACTTTTAAATGGGATTCATTATTTTAACTGGTGACATTTGGTGTTACATAATTATGTGCACCTTAGTCAAACTATTTGGAGAATAACAGATGTTGCCATTAGGCGTCTTTCTTTGTGATTCTACGATGGCAGAAATACTTTCCATCCGTACATGAGCGGCTGAAGAGGACATGGTTGTAGCTGGGATCACTGTGTCGCCCAATTTTTTACGGCAACTTTAAAAGTAAATTGTTTTCATTAAAACTTGTTGATTCACCATGGTGCCAATGTTCGACAGCGGAGTTGCAATACGAGTAGTCCGTCCATCACTTTATCTGGGAGTGTGATCTCTGGCAATATGAACGTAACACTATGTTAAATAATTTATTGTTTCGTCAGGTGTAGCTTATTATACGGATCTTGTGGAATCTAGAATACATAGATTTTGCCATACCTATTATTGGAAGCAAGTATAATAGCTCACACATAGGACTCACTTAGTTTTTACTCAAATTTCCGTGGTGCTTTTGCGATTGGGCTTCTCCCAGTGGTACAGTCTCTTTTAGGCTTAATTCATTCTGTTTCCTGCAGTAATTCACAAGGTTTTTTTTCTCCTTTTATAATATCTTCTGATTCACTTCGTTGCGCCATTTCATTGCGTCACAGTTATTTATGTCCCTGGGATGCGCCGAACTTCAGTATTACGGTGTTTTTACGGTTGTATCTACTGTAGATCCTGGCTTACAGGAGTTGCAGCGGTTTTGGGAGGCTGTGGTGGGCTTATCCAAAACTAAATATCTTATATACTAGGTAAAGACCGACTGAGTAAAATTCATTCATTACAATAATTAAGTTGTCTAATACTTTTTTTATTAATTAAGACATCACATTAATAATAATCTAACAAAAAACGCCCTTCCTCTCTCCTACCAATTTTAAATGTTGCTGTGCCCGACTGGGTCCATAATTGTTACCTACTATTTGTATTTTTCTAACCACCTGTATGTGTACATTATGGATGCAATAAATATTTGATTACTTTGATTACTTGATTGATTATCCCAATTAAAAAATAAATGGTTGTAATCACAATCATTTCCACTTTAAACTGTCAAACACCAAGCGGTCACCGGTGACCGCTTGGTGTTTGACAGTTTAAAGTTTGTCTACAAAACCGGTACTCGACGAGTTAAACCAAATCTGAGATTTCGTGGTTGATAGTTGTGCTCGTGACTTCTCTATAAAACCATGTATTTATTTTATTCCTTGTTTTATTTTTCAGCATTTAAAGTAACAGCTCAAAAAAGATGTATTAATCTACAAGACCTTAATAACGATAACAACAATAACGATGATGATAATGTTAACATGAAAATGAATTGGAAACCTTTGCCATTAAGGTTTTACTCAAATCAAAATGAATATAAGAATACAGGCAACGATCAGAAAATAAAGGATTCGAAATAAATTGAATGTCTTATTTTTAAATTATTCAAAATCATTATAAAAAGTTAATTTCTAAAACACATACAATACCAACTATAATATACTTAACAAATATTTGCATATTTGTCTTTAGCCATTGAGCTGTAAACCATGTTGGTCATGAGGTGTGAACCAATACAACTTAAGATAATTTATTTAGTATTTTATTGTCTACCACAATTCTTCCACTGCTGCTCAAAGGTCTCCATACCTTCATTCCACTACTCTATGTTTAGAACTTTCTACGACCAATCATTATATTAGGTGTCAAGTACGTCTGCCATCTTCTTTTGGGCCTACTGCGACTAACTTAAGCCCAGATCTATCTTTATATGGCTACATGGTTGGTGCAATAGCTTTTTTTTTAAGGGGGGAAAATCATTGAATGACTGCTCCCGCCTGGGTGCAATAGCTAGGATATTGTGCAACGTATTGCGGGTTCGTTTCTCGTACTGAATAACTGTATTGTGTAATCCACAAAATTGTTGTTCCGAGCCTGGGTGTGATGTGAATTTGTCTGTTTGTAAACGCTCTCATAATATGGGAGAAATTTCTAATATGGAGCAACGTTTAAAATAAATGTCTAGTAGGTACAGGTGTCATTCTCAAAATTCTACACACTACACAAAAATTTATTATGAATAAATGTGAACGCTTAAGAATCTTTCCCGTCAGATGGAAAATGCGCCGAGCGTATAATCAACTTACGCTCAAAACACCAACTGCTGGTTTGATGCGAAAAGTCTGTTGCATCATTTTATTTGTTTGTTATTACGGCACGCAACCGATGATATGCGACGATTTTCCGCCAGATTTAAATCGATCCTTATTTACCTACTTACATGTTACAAAGAACTTTTTGACAAGGAAACTGGACTAATCTTAAGACTCGCTTGGCACTCACAATTCTGAACGGTATGGCGTTAAATGGTGGTTGTCAAAGAGTAGGTATTACAAGAGGCTTATAACATTACGCCTCTTGTTATCCGAAGAGATTTTTTTAAGGGGGGAAAATCATCGTTTGCTTGCTTCCGCCTGGGTGAGGGCGATTTAGGTGTCCGGAAGTTTATATTTAATTCCATTTTGTTCACATATAATACCTACGCATTTATATATCAAATTGCTGAAAAATAATTACTATTAGGTACCTACTACCTTTCACTTTATTTAAAAAAATACATTTTATTGGACGTTATGTATTAAGTTACAGTTTTTTGAAGGGGGGGGGGATCATTGAATGACTGCGACAAGATTATGTGAACAAAAAGTAGCTATCAATAGTTATGATGTTAGTCCAACCATAATGTATCGGGGAAAGTTGGTTTGCAAACCGTGAAAAAATATCGTGGCAGCCAGGACGTTTAAGACGCTCGCACGGACGTGTTAGACGAATTGAGCAAGCGTGGTGATTAATGCTACAACTTTCTCCTTGCGAGAAGAGACCTCCTTTGATCACCACTAACCACTTATAGGCTGTGATGTGATGATGTAATGTGAAGCCGAGGAAATAGTTTTAGAATTTTAAAAATGGATTATCGTCTATCGAAACTATATCCGAATCTATAGAGATCATCATATCGAGGGGTAACGGACTATTTGGTTTAAGCGACATTTTGGGCGATATTGAGTTATATATATATTCGGAATCAGCGACTTTTTCTCCGTCGAATATATATAATAACTCAATATCGCCCAAAATGTCGCTTAACTCGTCGAGTACCGGTTTTGCAGACACAATTATAGAACAATAGGTTGCGGTCACCGGTGACCGCTTGGTATTTGACAGTTTAAACCAAATAGTCCGTTACCCCTCGATATACATGTTTCTATATAGATTTTATGTTCAACAATTGTGTTGATCATCTACTGAGCGACTATAGATTAATTAAACCGGCAAAGAAAAGTTATTAGTATTTACCCAAAAATGTTCCTTATCAGGCATTGCACAGGGTCCAACGATCGATTGGGTGATGTTATTTTAAAAACTGCACACTCTAGAATTTACTTTGAATGCTTGCCGCATTTTGTAGGTTCCCCTGGCAGCAAAAATATACACATGACTAAATATCAGGTATACAAACCCAGTTTATTATGATCTCACTTTATCGTTACCCTTTCACTCATTTGACAGGTCAGATTAAATTGGTTTTGTATAGTTTGATGAGTAGTCGTGTATACATTAGTGGTTAATACCGACTGCTAACAAACTCTTATTTTTGTAGCAATCAATAGATGAAACAACTCCCTTTGAAGCCGGCCACGCGAAGGTGATCAACGAGTATTGGTGTTGGCGAGCAAGATACTGCCACACGCCGAGTAAGAAGATTTGCGGCTTAGACAAAAGACGAAAGCAACGAAGAATATTTCATACTACCTGCGATTTATATAAGCATAACTGTGAACAAGGCTACGGTGAGTTAAAACACTGATGACCGTTTTGTCCAACTTTTCCTAATATTTAAAGAGGTTCCTAACTATCAATCTGCCTATATCAAATAACGTAGGGTAAGAGACACAACGCAACAAGGGCAACTTCTACGACGTCTCGTATCATTAGTGAAGTCAATCAATTCATTACGCTTATGATTGATGTGGTCATTCGTCACAGTTTTATCAACAGACGGTACAGTATCAGTAGATAAGGAACCCCTAAACTAAGACAGGTGACATTTAACGACATTTCGGTTTTCGCCAACCTGTAAGTGACACCTAACAGTACTGTAGTTTAGACATCCGAGCGTGCGGCGCGTCGCGTTCCGCGCGCGCCTTAAAGAGCCATCAGACCACCATAGATGGGGCCCAACAGGGCCGATGCCTATCGCGGATACGCGGATGGAGTCGCGGAGAATCTAACGGGTAACCGAGGCTCCGGCTCGACGTGCAGGAGAAGGAACGGGGTGGTTTTTAGTCAGTAAGAGTCTGACACTCCCTCCCGCCTCACCCAGGCGGGGGCAGTCATTCGATGATTTACCCCCCTTAAAAAAAAGGTAGTTTAAACAAGTGCTGTAAAAGGTGTTGAAGATTCGGAAGTTGTAGACCAATTGCCGATATTAAAATAATCGATCTAAATCCAAAATGATGATTGAGATTATTTCTATAGAATTTCTTTTTTTATCTCATTTATTTCGAGGCATGTGACGATGTTAATTCCATCGTGCTTTTTTCTATAGAAATTTTGGATTACGATTGATAAGTAAGAGAACTCTACAAAAGTTAGGCGTATATAAAGAAGGGTAAAAATGGTACGATAGCGGTATTACAGTACTGCTATTTCGGAAATTATATTATTTAGGTTTTTTTATTTAGGGTATTTAGGTTATGTTAGCTTTGGATTTGGAGACACAGTCATACCTATGTATCTATATAATATGAATATTGTAAGTACCTATATCTATTCATATTTTATTTATAAGTATTTTATCAGACTTTTTTCGTATTCAAATCAAAAGTCAAAGCATTTATTTCAATTAAACCATAATTTGATACTTTTGAAACGTCAACAAATACAAAATAAATTATAGTCTGTCAGTCAGTCCGTCATTGAAGCTAGTTGAAGCTAGGTGCTCATTCCAAAATAGATTCGAATGGAGAAGAACGAGCAAGAAACTCTATTCGTTACTCTTTTTAAAAAAGTATGTTCTACAATGTCTCTGATACATATTCCAATACTATACGTATATGTGAGAACAATGCAAAGATACGCTTGACGCATTATACTAATTACAAAACTTACCAAAAATAAAAAAAAATCTTATAGTCTAACATGGTGCTCACATAATACATACTGACAATCCATAAAATTGTGCTTCATGTACCATTTAAATACTATAAAACATTTAGATATTTCGCATACTGTGTGGTAGCATTCTATTATTTATTTTATTTGATATACTTACTTTTTATTAGTTTTCCAACCATTGGTAACAGAAGTAATATTCCTAAAATACCGTTTATAAATAATAGTTTTTTTTATTCTTAACATTTTCTTTTTGGAGATCGATTGTGGTGATATTAGGTAATTAGATTTTTTGGAAAATTATTTAGGTATTTAATCGGGGTCGGATTCAAGAAATGTCGTTAAATTAAAAACATCTGACACTGTTATTGGTCAACAAAAGATTTGTTAGTAGATGTGACTATTTTTATTAC